ATATATATATATATATATATATTTATATATTAGGTATACCTTTCCAACTCCTTGTTATCGCAAATTTCTTATCATCCAGTCAGATAGCAGCAACTCAATGCATTTAGGCATGCAGACATGCAGACAGTTCAAACTGCAGAAGGTGATTTAAGTGACTTTGATTGTGGCATGATTGTTGGTGCCAGACAGGCTGATCTGAATATTTCAGAAACTGCTGATCTACTGAGATTTTCAGTATGGTCAGGCAGTCAATAGTCAGACTGGTTTCAGCTGATAAAAAAGGCAACAGCAACACAAATAAGCACTCGTTACAACCGAGGTATGCTGAAGAGCATCTCTGAACACACACGCCCAACTTTGAGGCGGATGGGCTACAGCAGCAGAAGATCATACCGGGTGCCACTCCTGTCAGCTAAGAACAGGAAACTGAGGCTTCAATTCACACAGGCTCAGCAAAATTGGACAATTGAAAATTGGAGAAACATTGCCTGGACTGATAAGTCTCGATTTCTGCTACAATATTCGGAAGGTAGTGTCAGAATTTGGCATCAACAACATGAAAGCATGGATCTATCCTGTCTTGCATCAGCAGTTCAGGCTGCTGCTGATGTTGTAATAGTGTGGGGGATATTTTCTTGGCACACTTTTGCCCATTAGTACCAGTTGAGCATAGTGCCAATGCCACAGCCTACCTTTGTATTGTTGCTGACCATGTCCATCCCTTTATGATCACAGTGTACCCTTCTTCTGACGCCTACTTGGATAACACACCATGTCATAAAGTGTGAATCATCTCAGACTGGTTTCTTAAACATGACACTGTACTCAAATGGCCTCCACAGTCACCAGAATTCAATCCAATAGAGCACCGTTGGGATGTGGAGGAACGGGAGATTCGCATCATAGATGTGCAGCTCACAAATCTGCAGCAACTGCATGATGCTATCATGTCAATACGGACCAAAATCTGAGGAATATTTCCAGTAGCTTGTTGAATCTATGCCACGAAGGCAGGTCTGAAGGCAAAAGGGTATCCAACCCGGTACTAGTAAAGTGTACCTAATAAAGTGGCCAGTGGGTGTATATAGGAATATTCCTGCTGTTCCTGTCCTGCAACCTAAGCAGCATATTTGTCCAATTATTTTTGCAACGTTTTGCTTTCTTGTAAATCACCTGATGTATTGATGGCATGATAGTTATTTGGCAAGTCAATTTTATTTATTTGTTCATGTATTTCAATCCTTAGCTATGCTTTGTTGCTTGGAATAGGTGCAGTGAAGGGTGTTATTTTCTTTTTTATAAACATAGACATAAACAATGAACAGCACAGGATGGATAAATGTTATGACAATCTTTGGAGACAGCGGGTGATCATTTTTATTAATCACATTCACATTTCACATAGCAGATTTCAGATGATATTATTCATACTAATTAAAATAAGTTTAAAATTAGCCCAAATTACATACATATTAGTTAGGATAAGAGGCTTTTTTCATTTAGATAAGACATTTACAATTGTACATATAATACACAATTTTATTTTACAGTATGTCTTTTACTTTTATAAATGTTCTTCTTTTCTCACGTGTCTGTATGTATGTATATATGTAGGTATTTACACAGAGCTCCTGAAAACTACAACAAACCCCGTGTGTGTGTTTGTTGTGCAAATGAAGCTCATTCTGTGTCCGAGAACTGATTGTGAACTGATTAGGAAATTGATCAAATTTCAGCTGCTGAACTTTAAATTCATGAGTAATGTTTAAAGTAAAGAGTAAAGGTTTGATTTCTTTGAAATAATAATAGCGTCATTTCTTGAAGCATTTTTAAAGCTCAATTCAAGAGTTCACACTTAGATATTGCTTGACAACTGTTAGCAGGTTTGGCATGCTGTCCCGGGAGAGAACCCTGAGCTCGGAGATAGTTGAGCCCAGGGCTCCCGCCAGGTCCATAGAGCATGTGAGGGGAGTCCGAGATCAGGTGGTTCTCGAGAGCTCCCCTTTTTAAAGGAGGAAAGGAGGAGAAAGGGGGTGGATGGGGGGGTTTCTTCGGAAAACGAAGATAAGGGAGTAATATCTAGCTAGGCTACTTATAGTGAGTTAGGATAGATCTGATTGGCTAACAAATGAGTGTAGATAGGTGGCCAGCTGCAGTCAATTATATCATGTGCTCCTCTCGAAATTAGTTTAAAAACTTCCAATTATTACAACAATGATTGCAAAAGCAAGAAAACATCACCAAATATTTCTTTCCACCAACAAGCTTAGAAACAGTGTTTTCGCAGTATAATCATTGCATTATGCTTTGGAAAAAAAACGCTGACACGTTTAAAAGTCGTGTGATGACAAGGGTTGTTTTCTGATCCCGGGTGTCCTGGATGTGTAGAAGATCACACCGCAAATCATAGCAGCAATGGCCACCAGACACCCAGCGACGACAGCAAGGTTTACATTAAATCCCAAGTTCACAGTCACCTCTGAAATGTGAGTAAAGGTTGCAGTTGTAAACAAACTAGTTTAGGATACAATCATGTTAGTAAATATGAATGAAGTTATGCTGTCTTACGTGATGGGCTCCTCCTCAGCCGTATGGGTCCCTGGGAGATGAAGTAACTGCTGGTCTCAATAGGGGCGTCTCTTTTGTTAATGTTGTGTGAAGGTGGGGCGGCGGTGCTGTTGATGCAGCCCTGAGAGCAGCGAGTGTTGGGATCGCCAGCCTGGCATACGATGATGGAGCAGCTGATGAACACCTACAGATGAGCAGGGGGAGAGGAAGAAGACAAAAAGCCAAGAGACAATGAGAGTTCAACAGAAAAATTGTTTCATTTCAGTTATACATTTGTGCTTGTAAATAAGGTCTTAGTAAGTCCATATCAGAATGTGTGAGTGAAATGTAAATTTCGAACCAAAATCTCATGTTCATAATGCATAATTAACCTTTTACTGGCAGTTTGACTGACAGGTTATCTGACCAATTATAATAATCACTGTCCGCCCATTTGAGTCCAACAACAAAATAGTCTGACAATCCAAGTGTATGTCTATAACATTGGCGATTAACTCGAAAAATGTTGTAAAGTACCCAAAAAGGTTGAGCAATATCAAATTGAATTCTTTCCTGAAACTGTGGAAGGCCTCATCATCAACTGAATGAATGACTCGAAATACAAAGACTCCAGAATGACGAATGATTTTTTTCTGTTGGACCAGAACAGCCCACATAACTTTCAAGAGTTCACCCTTAGCTGATGATTGGTTATAAAGCTTGTTTGGCATGCTGTCCCAGGAGAGAGCCCTGAGCTCACAAGATCCTCAAGCCCGGGGCTCCCTCCCTGTTGAAGGGCGAGATGGGAGTTTGAGCTCAGGTAGGTCTCGAGAACTTCCCTGGTTTACTTATGGCTTATGACGGATTAAAGGGATTGCTATGGAGAGATAAACTGCTGACTGATAGATAGGATCTTGACTTAAGCCTGTTTCACACCGCAAGCGTAAGCGGCGCGTGAGCAGCGTATGTGTTTTTCGGCGTCCATGTAAACAAATTAGAGCTTTCCTACCACAGGCAGAAGCAGCACGTAAGCACGAGGCGTGAGCGTCGCTGAAATGGCAGTGCCGCGATAGTTTCGGAGCTGGGTTTATTTTTGCCGCGCTGCTCGCGCTCAATTCAAGAGTTCACACTTAGCTGATGATTGGTAATATGCTAGTTTGGCATGCTGTCCCAGGAGAGAGCCCCATGCTCATGAGAGCCTCGAGCCCGGGGCTCCCTTCCGTTGCAGGGCGAGAGGGGAGTTTGAGCTCGGGTAGATCTCCAGAACTCCAGGGTTGCTAAAGTGACGCGTTGCTGACAGAATTGAATCGAATTTGGTGCTAATTTGGTTTAGTCAATTTACTTAAGTGTCATGTTTTTGGGAGTGTGGGAGGAAACCGGAGGACCCGGGGAAAACCCACGCCAGCACGGGGAGAACATGAACTCCACACGAAAATGCTGACTGTTTGGGTAGATGCCCGAACCGGAGGCATTTTGCTGAGAGGCCGCAATGCTAGCCACTGGGCCGCCATGCTGCCCTATAGAGGACAAAGAGGAGGAGAGGGGGTGGAAAGGGGGATTCTTCAAGACAAAGATAACTAAAGGTAAGATGCTTGGTTATTTAAACTGAGTTTAGAATCGTCTAATTGGTTGTTCTTACATTAGCTTGACTCGAGGCCAGCCGTGTCAATCATAAGCACGTGATCCTCTCGAAATTAGTTTATAAATAAACTTCAGTAAAAACTTGTATGTTTAGTTTGATTTACCTTTTAAATTTAGGGCAGAAGATATTATGGTGTTTGATTACATATCTACAAATTTGGTGACAAAAGCTATTGAGGTACAGATTGCAAATTAGATCATGTGGTTATTGATCAGACTGTGCTGTATTTGTGAATCAAGTTCAAATTCAAACTCTGTCACAGACTTCAATTTCTGAAGAAAAAGAATAATAAGCACATCAGCAGTTACAAAAGAACCTTGGGTACCTGGCCAATAATCAGTTCTGTAGTTTTTTAAGCTGCTGTTCATCTAAGAACTCTGAATAAGATGCAGCTTTGGTGAGCATAATGTTCATAAAATGTGCAGTATTGTCATTTGACTTATATACATAGTCTGGATTAAATGGGACTCTAACCTGGTCTTGAAACCCAGTGAATTTGAAGGCCGCCATTTCAAACTCAACGTATGGTGTGTGACTTGATAAAACCTGAACCGATTCATCCATGTTGCATCTGAAATAGGAAGAGGCACTTGATTATTATTATTTTGCCTGGTAACTGGAAAGACAAGTATATTGTGTACCATTGATATGGTTAGATGTGCAAATGCTCGAATGTGTTTGTAGAATCTCACCCATTGGTGATGATGGGGTAGGAGACTGGGTAATTAGGAGTATCATAAGGCGTAGCCATACAGGACTCAAGAAACAGCTCAGTGTTTGGGACTGGAGAGTCAGGCTCGATCTTCATGTAGATCATATCTCCCACATTATACACGAGAGGGTAGGCACTTGGATCCGTCATGTTTTGGAAACTGTTAGATGGGTAAAACTCAAAGTGATAGTTCATTGTGCCAAAACTCTTATCCGAGATTCTGATTGGAGACTTGTTAATACCAAACTCCTGTCTGATGTTGTTGTTTTTTTGGTACGCGCACATAATTTCAAGTTCTAGGTTTATTCTGGATGTAATGTCCTGGGGATTATCAAATGTGGTGACTTTATTCTTAAAGATGAGTTCGTTGTCTGTCTCCTACAAAGAAACAGAAGATTTGATATAGTTAAGCTCTGGAATTTACAGGATCTGGATGTTGTTGTTAATGTTTTGTAAATGCTTCACCTCTAACGTAGTGCCACATCCATTAAGAGGTGTGCTGGCGTACACATCAGTACTGTTGGAGTAAAGCTGACAAGACGGATCTATCAGTCTCAGTTGGTCACCCCTGAGGTTTTGGATGGAAGATCTCACTATTGTGACTGACATTGAGTTTGCTGAGCAGGTTACATGTACCACAGGTCCTGAAAATAGAATTAATGGTGAATGGCATACAAATGCATTTCTTGATGTTCAAATTTAAATGACCATGCTTTTATGGAGAGAGGAATAAATCTGTACTGCAAGATGAGTCATCAACACTTTTTATAGAAGTATCATTAGAGTCTGTTTTACAAACCTTGATCAATGACCTCTGCAACAATGCATCTCATCTCAGACTGGTAAATATCAGACCTTAAAACAAAAAGATTTTTATCAATAGTCATAGCATGAGGTCAAAGTGGTTACACAATTGAAAAGAACATTGACTTTTGAAGCATACATGTATTGTCCTTCTGCAATGAAGCAAAATGGAAAGTGTTGACCATAGTTTTCTTGAGTTGGTGTCCAGTTAATCACATATTCTCCAGTGGTAGTTTTGGTCTTTGTGCTGTTTAATGGTCCACTAATGATGACATCAATAATTCTGGATGACGAAAGCAACAACAAGATATAAAACCGAGAGACAAATAACATTAGACTTCTTTTTCCCTATTTTCATTCTGGAAGACATGGTTACTGTAGTATGCATAGAGGAACCAGGCAAGGGTAGTGTACTAACATGCAATTGCAAATTAAGTTGCAGTTTATTTCAGTTTCATTTTAAACAAGCCCAAGTACGCCTTTTCCCAAAATACCTTGAAAATAATGCAACAGCCTTCACTCTGAACTCAAACTGATGATTTACACGAGCCTGCAAGAGTTCTCCATCCGAAGGTGTTGGATAGAGTAACTGTGGCAGATATTCACCCTCAACACAAGATGGTGCTGGATTGTCAACTGAAATGTATGAATAGTGTTAGATTAAATACACATATCAATATAATTTTGAAGCTTAGTGTACAAACCTTCCAAACATACCTTGCAGAGAAAACTGAAGAGGAATTTTGCTCAGTGGTAAAGTAGTTGATGCTTTGGATGTTGCCAAGGTAGTTGTAGTCATTATAGGTGCTGCTGTAGGGGTTGTTTGTGTTGTTGTAAGAGTTGTTTGAGTTATTGTAGGGGTTGGTGTGGGTTCAGGTGTTGTTGTGGGTGTTGTTGTAGGAATTATTGTAGTTGTTGTTGTGGGTTTGGGTGTTGTTGTGGTTGTTGTTGTGGGCTCGGGTGTTGTTGTGGGGGTTGTTGTAGGAATTATTGTGGTTGTTGTTGTGGGTTCGGGTGTTGTTGTGGATGTTGTTGTAGGAATTATTGTGGTCGTTGTTGTGGGTTCGGGTGTTGTTGTGGGGGTTGTTGTAGGAATTATTGTGGTCGTTGTTGTGGGTTCGGGTACTGTTGTTGTTGTTGTGGGTTCGGGTGTTGTTGTAGGAATTATTTTGGTCATTGTTGTGGGTTCGGGTATTGTGGTTGTTGTGGGTTCGGATGTTGTTGTGGGGGTTGCTGTAGGAATTATTGTGGTGGTTGTTGTGGGTTCGGGTGTTGTAGGAATCATTGTGGTTGTTGTTGTAGGTTCGGGTGTTGTTGTGGGTGTTGTTGCTGGAATTGTTGTGGTTGTTGTTGTGGGTTCGGGTGTTGTTGTGGGTGTTGTTGCTGAAATTAT